GAACAGTCACAAACACATGTTTCTTCCTTCTCAACTGCCACTCAATCACATTACAACATATCAACCAAATAGAAGCTCTGTTCTGTTTGGGAGAAGGGTTGTTGATCACTATACAGTGGGGCTGCAATCTCTCCAGTTGCTGCCAAATACCATCTTGACCCTTCATAGTGGAAAAGTTGTATCCTGCCTTGAAATCCATAGGAGATGCAACTTTAACACCATTCTTTGAAAGGAACCAAGATAATCCACTGTTTCCATGAAGTAACTCAACAACATCAGGATGATCATCATTACAGAAGAAAAAGGACTGTTCTCCAAATTCGGCATCAACATACAGTTCGTGATCTTCACGTAAGTTCTCCGGATTCTCATCGTCTAATGCCGGTATGGAAACATCATGCCACTCATCGTGATCGCGTCTAACCTTTGACTGATTCACACGTATCACTGCCTTACCAGTATTGGCTTGGACCATAGCTCCTTCTTGTCCAAGTACTGTGGCACGAACCCAACGTCCTTTATCCTTGAACTTTGATGAATCCTGAGTCCAAACAAAAACCTTCTCTCCTTGGAAATAAGGACCGTCACTTGGCATAGTTCTTCTTGCAAGATCTGCTCGAAGGTCCTGAGCTTGTCGTGCTTCTTGATGAGCTCTCAAAGCCACACGTTGTAGTTCCAAATTTGTACGATCTTGTGCGGCGGCATTCGCTGACAATTGCTCAGGGCTTGCGGTCTCAAGGTCAAAAAGATCTGGTGGACGTCTTCCAGTTGCTATCTCTATTGGTGAATATCCACTGATAGTCAACTGACAATTTCTTACCCAAACTACCTTCTTGACCACTTCTCTGACCGTAACACCACGAAAACGTGGGTCATCCAGATCTACCTTCATAACATGCCACATACGTTTGAACAAACGTACAGCTGTCTCTGCTCGGTTCGGCCAAGGAGTTCTTGGTCCACAAGGACATTGTTGTATAGCATGAAACCTGTAGTATTCAACAAAAGCATCGGTGAAAAAGGCTTCGTCTCCTACGATGGCCTTTGGAACACAGTTGTTCTCATCAGACCATTGCCTCAATGCTTGGATGGTGGTTTGATCTATGAGGTCTTTCTGTGCCGTAGCCCAGAGAAGATTTGTGGCACCATCAAGAACAAGTAGGATGATATACTTGTTCTTGTGAAGTTCAACCTCACAATGATCAGCAAAAACAACATCACCAAAACATGAAGCTCTAATACCGGAGACTCTGGCTCGTGGCGGAGGTGCCACTGAAGTGTTACAAACACGGCAGTTCCTGACAACTGATTCATACTTCTCTAAAACAGAGTCAGGAAGCTTCAACATAGAAACACGTCTACGAAACTGAGTAGGACTCATATGGTAGTGCTTCACATGAAGCTTATAAAGCTCTACCTTGTCCTCCAGTCTCTGTAACATCTTCCTATATGCCGGTGTCATTGCAACAACTTCACTACCAGGTAATGGGATTGAAATCCGCCTAGGCTCAAGAGCGCCATCACCTGGTTCAAGTGGTTCATGTTTATCACTTGATGGTCCTTTTGATGCTTTAGGAATTTCTACAAGTTCACCTTCTGGCCTCTCAGGTGGTTCTGAGGGAGCATACTCCTCAAGATCATCACCCTTTAAATCATTCTGAGGCTCAGATGGTTTCGACTTGTGTCCCTTCCAAAATGGATCAAAACCCTTGGAAGTATACCGAAACTTTGGCGGCACGGGCTTTTCCGCGGCACTTGATGGTGCACCTTCCTTCTCTGACGAGAAGCCTGGTTCCCTGTCCTTTGCAATGGGAACCTTCTCTGAGGAGGAGCGCACCACTGCATCGGGATCACCAATGCCACGGTGCTCAATGCCAGCCTTCCTGATCTTTAGATCTGGAATTTTGGCATCTGGCTTGAACTTAAAAATTGTTCTACCACGCCATTCATAGCCAATTTGTAGGTCCTTCCATTTTGCCTTGCGCCAATCATCTTGCTTCTTGATCTCTTCTCCTCCTTTCTTCTTCTTGATGATTGTCAGTCGCAAGTCTTCCAGTAAGTCAGTGTCTACAGGACTTAGTTGCTGGAAAAAGAATCTTTCTATAATCCTTGTGGTGACGTATCAGTTCTCTCTTGTGAACATCTACTTCCCAGTAGTCAACCACAGGATATGCATGTTCAGCTACATCTTCATCACTATTGTGATCAACAGAAATATGACCATATTCATAGTGAGTGAAGTGAGAGTAAAAACTCTTCTCGCGTCGAGTCTGCAAATTCACGTCAGACAGATACCATGCAATATCTTGGAAGTCCAAGACAAGATGAGTACTGGCTGCAACCTTCAACTCCAAATATTTGATACCAAGAGGCACCGATGTCAGATAAGCATGTTGAGGTGTCAGCCTGAGTTCAAAGCCTAAGTTCCTCATCTGTGGCAAGCTCATAAGCAAAGGGACTTCTCCTTCTTCCACTATGTCGAACTCTGTATGGTGGATCGTCCATGCACGATCATACATGTAAATCACCAGTTTCTGAGAGCAAGTAGCCTTCTGGGAATTGGCAAAGTAAAACTTGCTCTTGGTAGCCTCAAAAGAGTACCATAATCCACAATCTGGGTGATTGTCGACATAGTTGCAAAAATGGTCGACTGCTCGCCTTGATCCCATAGCTCTAGTGCATCCAATGTCCAGGATTGCAATAGTCGGCGGGAAGCGATTCTCAGTCAAAAATGAAATGGCCTGCATCTCCTTCACTTCTTCCTCAGCGCTCATAAGCGCAAAGCCATCAGGAGCCTTTGTGAGCATCTCCTTTGACAAAGAGTACCTCACAGGGGCACTCATGCCATTGAAGATCGTCTCACCATTGTTGACCGCGCAGTCAGCTTCATCTTGACATGAGGTCATCATGCCTGACAGCAAGTTCACCTCACTGTCATGGACTTCAGCTGCTGCTGTCACACAATGTGCAAAGAAACCTTGTTGACCTCCTGATGCTTGTGAAGATCTTGAAGGTGCAGGCAAAGAACGTGGCTGTTGTTGATTTGCATAGTTTGCATCTTGTTTTCCATCTCCTTTATCTTTTCCTTTTCCTTTCTTGCCTTTTCTCTTGCCTTTTCCTTTTCCTTTGTGGGAAAACCATGCTTCTTCAAGCTGTTGCCAAAAGTCATTGGCATCATCATATTCTCCTTGAAGATAGTCATTCATATCTTCGGCAAGAATGGCATCATATGCTACTTGGTTTGACTCCCAAGTGTCCTCATAAGGATTCTCTTCAAAGTACTCATCTGGATAAGTTGTCTGTTGCTCATCAGCATAATGGCCTTTACCTCGTCTCTTTCCTTTTCCTTTTCCACGAGGTCTGAAAAATCTGCGGCCTGATCTTCCTTTACCTTTTCCTTTTCTTCTTCCTTTTCCTTTGCCTTTTCTTGCTCTTCTTCCTTGGAATCTCCTTTGGAACCACGAGAAGTTTTGATCATCATATACCCAAAAGACATCGTCCAGGGCATCTAAAAATCCTTCTGTTCCATCTTCTTCATCTTCGGCCCAATAGCCAAATGTACCATCGAGTTCTCCTTCGTCTAGTACGAGAAATGATCTTCTACCTCCAGCACCTGTCGGCTGCATCAAAGGATTGTCTACTGAAGTCTTCGTCGTGCAGAACATCTCGATGAACACTGTCCTCAACTCTGTTGTAGTGTATTGCTGCAGGACCCTGCCACGATGAGTCATCAAAGAAGTCAAAGTGTTTCGCTGGTCCTGAGACAAATCTGCAAGTGACAGCATGAGTAAGGCAATAAGATTTTCTCCTTGAGGAAATTCGTTCTGATGAAAAGTCCTCATATTGCCATTGATGGTCTGCATGATTTCCTGAATCCTTTCTGCCGTTGGTGCTACTCCAGTCAACGCTGCATCTGCCTGCATCTGAGCTAGGACCTGTGGATGTGCTTGAGTGACTGGTTCTAACATGTCCATCCAACTGCTCATAAGCCTTTGGAGTAAAATCTGGAATCTTGTCATCCATTTCATCATGTCAGCTGATCCTCGATTGAAGCGCACGAATTGCATAAATCTATACAGGAATACATTGGTTGATCCTTTCACGAAATATCTCTGTCTAAAACACGCTTGTATACAGCTGCTTCTCCTTCTAATCTGTTTCTCAATGCTGGTCCTCTCTTCTCATCTTCCAGCTCGGTGATATCACACCAATCGTCTATGGCATCCTCATAGGAAAACCATGAAGTCTTTCCATCATAAGATGGGGGCACCTTTGTAGTGACCTGTGTTGTCATTGCTATTGCTGCTGGTTCTCTTCTCGCATGCCTATTCACATAGGCTGCTGGCTCATAAGCCATATCCGCATCAGGCTCTTCCCAGTCGTCTATCCAATCCATGGCTGTTTGCCCACTAGCAATTCTATGCCTAGGAAAGGAGCTCACCTGGGTCTTCCAGGATCACTGCTCCGCTACCACTGAAAGAGTGACTAGGGCGTACACGGTAGAGGTGCAGACCGCTAGTGTCTTTTATGCGCAGAGTCTTATCCTCTTGCTCTTTGAGCCTTGAGCCAGTCAAGCATGGACACACTATATCGGCTGTTGGAGTGGAACCCTGTACAGGTAGGCTCTACTTCTCAGGGGGGGGG